TCTCCACCAAAACAGTTCCCAGTTAATGTTCTGCAATATTACTTATCAATGAAGTGACTTGTGGATTCAGCGCCATTGTGTAGCACACACACACACACACACACACACACACACACAAACGCACACACACACAGGAACACAAGTAAACACAACCATTCAAATATTCACTAAATGGTTGTAACACACAAAATCTTAGTCATCAGATGTCTACTACAATCACAACAGAGATATGTAATAATAAAAAGAAATTGCAAACATTTGCTGATCTTAGTATTCTGATAAAATAACAGGATGGTGAACTTTCTCTGTTGACTCAGAAAACTGGTGCATGTCTGTGACTAGTCAGCTGTAATGAAAATAAATAAACAAACACCCCCCTCCCCAAATAGTATATTATGTAATGCTAATTTGGCAGAGGAACTACACCTAATTTCTGGTAATGGAGCTCGCTGATTTGTTCTGTTTTTCCTCCCAATTAATCCTCTTAAAGTGAAGCGAATATTCTAATAAGCGCACAACAGTCATGTTTTTTCCCCCTAGTTTTAAGAGTTCATAAATCAGCTGCTGACAGGTGTGTCTGTATATGCATCAGTCCAGTCCAGCACCAAATCTACAAACCCTTTCCAGGAATAACTTAGTCAGAAGCAACAACAGTGAGGGGGTTGGCTATGCAAAACATCAGATAAACCGTGGGTGAGGTAAACATCTTTCTCAAACACCATGCGCATACAAATACACACAGCACACGGGGGGGGCTTGAGGGTGTTAGAGGTTGTTATTCATTATCCACACGACTGCATTCCAGGATTGGACAAAAAAAGAGTTATCGCCACCATCACTCTGAAGCAAGCGCATGAGAGGCAGACAGGGATTTAAGCAGGTTCTCAAACAAGATGCCCCCACCTGATAACCTCAGTGCTGCTGTTGCACTATTCCCACATGTCCTAATGCATTTACAAATGAGAGAGAGGGAGAGATGAAAGGAATGGGAAAGTGTGAAAAGGGTTGCATAGGAGGAGGGCAAGGCATGAGGAGGAAAAGCAGGAGGGGAGAGAGAGAGTGAACATTAACACTTAATGGAAGTGATGGAGAATGATAAGGACACCTGCTTCTCCGCTTTACAGGAAGTGACCTGTGAAGATGTGGCAACTACACCTGTGGCAGATTCAGTGTTGTCTGAGGGGGAAAGAACCTTTGCTGCTACCTCCCCCATCTCTTTGTCCTTCAGTACAAGAAATTTATTGAGGAATTCCTCTTCCTTCTTTTTATTGCTCAATATCTGATTTTAGACATTTGACCTATAGATACACCACATGCACTCAGTGACTCCTTGCATCATAAACGATTACATAACTCATGTATCTACCTTGCCTTATCCAACAAAGAGAGTGGTCATGTGAAAGACCTGCCTAGAACAGACATCAACCTTTAACACATTCCAGGTGTCAAAGGTTGTTGCAAAACTCTCTTACCTTTTTTAAACTCCTCCAGCATTGCGTCAAGCTTGGTGTCATTGAACACAAAATGCAACGGGTGGCTGTAAAACTTTGTGATGGTTTTGAGCGGAGTGCAATCATCCGGGTCCACGAAGGCCAGGTCCTTGACCAAGAGCAGATCCACTATATTGGACCTCTCGCCCTCGAAAACGGGGATGCGCGTGTAGCCGCTCTTCATTATCTCGGACATGGTATTGAAGTCCAGCGTTGCATCCCCAGGAATCATGAAGCAATCCCTCAGCGGCGTCATCACGTCCTCTACAGTCTTAGTCCTGAGCTCCAGCGCGCCCTGGATGATGTTCAGCTCCTCTTTCACCAGATCGTTGTAGGGGTCCGTGACGCGCAGCATCTCCAGAAGCTTCTCTCTGTTGTACACGGTTCCTATCTCCTGTCCGAGCAGGTAGTCCAGTAGCTTACTGACTGGGTAGGACGCAGGGAAGGTAAGCAGCATGAAGAACTTGGTGAGGAATATGGTGTTGGCTCCCACAGCGAGGCCGTGCCTGGAGCAGATGGCCTGTGGCACAATTTCCCCAAAAATGACTATACCGATGGTGGACATGACAACAGCAATCAAGCCCGAACCGGCGATATCATCCAGCAAGATGGTTAGCGTGGTGTTCACTAACACGTTCCCGAGCAGAAGAGAGCATAGCAAATAATTCCCTTGGCTCCTGACCGGCTCTATTTTTTTGGCGTAATTCTTCTCCCTTTCCGTGCCGCAGTTCTGCACTATCTGGAGCTCCATGGGGTCCAGAGCCATGAGCCCCAGGTTCAGCCCGCTGAACATACCGGACAGGCAAAGCAACATGGAGATGAAGATGACCTGGAGCCAGAAAGGCAGCAGAAACTTTTTCTCCTCCACCACTATCACTTTGGTGTCATCCCCATCGTGGTAGATCCAGGTGTTCTCCGTCCGCGGGTCGTGCATCCCGGCCACGGCTGGTGTCGAGGTGGCGATGCAAAGGTAATACGTTTTACTCCTCTCCGTCTTTCGCAAAGGTTTGACCTCAATTTCAACTATACCGGATGTCTTTCGATTCAGGATGATGTAGGGCAATATCATTATATCCGAAGTCCTAAAACCACAGGGGTGCAAGCCGGACGAGTCCTCCTGGCTCTGGTTATCCCCCGAGGAGCTGTCAATGCTCCCAATCGCCCGGCTCCGCTCATGTTCCGTGAAAGCAATTTTGGACCAGGTCTCGTTGTTGATGTTCTGCCCGTACACTCTTAATTTTACCCGAGAGCGCTCACTCACCCGCAGGTAGCCCTTATCCATGAAGGAAATGTCGTCCGTGTCCTCCAGTCGGAGCCCTATGATGACGGTCTCCTCGGACCCTTCCTTGCCACTTGTCGGGGTGACACAGCAGCCAGTGACAGTTAAGAAAATCATCGCCAAAGCTCGGACCCGGTTAAGTGACGCCATTTTTGCAGCGGTGGGTGCTTGGGATAACGGTTCTGCCATATTGATAACAACTGGCAACCAACCTCCTGAATGAAAAGGGCTTTTAAAAATCAGAGCCAGTCGGAGTCCGCCTTCATCTCCGCCCAGGGTTGCCGTGACTTGTGCATCGGGACCTGCTCGTTCCCACTACGTGTCCGACACTGATGACTCGCGAGCGCAGGCTTACGGGCCAACTCGTGCCTCCCCTGGTGTCCCCGATACAGGCGACGGCGACGACCAATCGGGAGGTTCCGCTGGCCGGGAGGCGGGGCGTCCGCAGCCTCCTTGGCGAATCAAATTCCAAAACAAGTGCACCTCATGTTAGGAGACAGATAGGACTTTACTCGTGACTTCTTAAAACATATCATGCTAGAAAAGACAACCACAATACCCGGTCTAAATGTTTAAAAAAGGCACGTGCAAAGATTAAAGGTTAACTAAAATAAATACTACAACATGTTTTATCTATATAGA